GGCTCGAATGGTTCTTGAGAAACTTCGAAAAAAGCAGCGTCATGTTCAAGTGGATTTTGCAACTCAAAAAAAAAACCACGCAAATCTAAAACTTCCTAAATTATATATTCTATTTCCAGATAATGCATTAGGAGACGGATAGGAATCGACAGATTGACCAAGTTGCGAGTTTTCCTTAAAATGGTAAAATATTATCCAAGAACAAATGCACACGTTTTTACTTTTGTTACATTTTTCAAAAAATCTGCATGGCATTAGTACTAGGCATTAATTGATTACCATAGAAAAACTCGTTTGTGCCAGTTAATTAATCTTCGAAGCCGCATACAAGAAACGTGGCTTATTTGCCTAAGTTTCCAAGTGGATTTTCTTTTCAGAAATATCATACGGCTGGTTCCGTGGGGGTGGTGCATTAAGTTTGCTTCTAGTCTGCAATGCTGAACTTTTCCAGCATAAATTAGCCTTATCGCGAGGTTTTATTCTACCTTTTGGCCATGCATTCTCGCTCAATGCTTACTACTTCATATGAAAATGCTGATAAAGACAGAGACATTCATTGCGTCCCAACCAGAAAACCTGTGAATTTCGGGATTCTTGCGTTGAATGCATAAGAGTCGACCGAAAAAGGTGTGAAAGTTTCGATTTGCTGGCATCATCCGGGATGTTCTTGAAAATTTTGAAAGTGTGGATTTTCACTTTTATTGCTTGCGGTGACGATGGGCAATTTGCGATGGACTATTGAAAAATTAATTGTGTCACAACCAGAAAAGCTGTAAATTTCGGGTTTTGTGCGTTAAACGAAGAAAAATTGGGGGTAAAACGTGTAAAAGTTTCGATTCGCTGACATCATCAGGGACTTTTTTGTAAATTTTCAAAGTTTGCGGATTTTCACTTTCGTTACGTGCGGTTGCAACACGCGCTTTGCGACGGGCCCTTGAAAAATTAATTGCGTGTCAACCAGAAAAGCTAGAAATTGTGGGTTTTTTGCTTTAAATGTAGGAAATTTTGGCCTAAAACACGTGAGAGTTTGCCTTCGTTGGCATCATTAGTGGTTTTTTAGAAATTTTCAAAGTTTGGCGATTTTCACTTTCATTACATGGGGTTGCGATGGACAATTGAAAAGTTCATTGTGTCACAACCAGAAAAGCTGTAAATTTCGGGTTTTTTGCGTTAAATGAAGAAGAGTTGGGGGTAAAACGTGTAAAAGTTTCGATTCGCTGGCATCCGCATGGACTTTTTTGGAAATTTTCAAAGTTTGCGGATTTTCACTTTCGTTACGTGCGGTTGCGACAGGCGATTTGCGAAGGGCCATTGAAAAATTACTTGCGTCTCAACCAGAAAAGCTGGAAGTTGTGGGTTTTTTGCTTTATTAAACGCAGAAAATTTGGGTCTGAAACGCGTGAAAGTTTCGATTCGCTGGCATCATCGGGGATATTTTTGGAAATTTTCAAAGTTTGTGGATTTTCACTTAAAAGAAAATTAATTGCGTCCCAACCAGAAAAGCTGTAAATTTCAAGTTTTTTGCGTGAAATGCAGAAGAGTTGGGGCTAAAACACATGAAAGTTTCGATTCGCTAGCATCATCAGGGACTTTTTGGACATTTTCAAAGTTAGTGGATTTTCACTTTGATTGCGTGCTGTTGCGATCGACTTTTGAAAAATGAATTGCTTCTCAACCAGAAAAGCTGGAAATTTCGGTTTTTTTCTGCGTTAAATGCAGATGAGTTCAGCCTAAAGCACGTGAAAGTTTCGAATTGCTCAAGAATATGTTTCTAGAAATTTTCAAGGTTTGGCGATTTTCATTTTCATTACGTGCGGTTGCGATGGACTTTTGGAAAATTCATTACGTCTCAACCGAAAAAGCTGGCAATTTCGGTTTTTTTGCGTTAAATGCAGAAGAGTTGAGCCTAAAACACGTGAAAGGTTCGATTCACTGGCATCATCGAAGATTTTTTTGGAATCTTAAAAAATTTGGCGATTTACACTGTCATTACGTGCCGTTGCGATTGACTTTTGAAAAATTAATTGCGTCACAACCAGAAAAGCTGGCAATTTCGGGTTTTATGCGTTAAATGCAGAAGAGTTGGGCCTAAAACGTGTAAAAGTTTCGATTCGCTGGCATCATCAGAGATATTTTTGGAAATTTTCACTGATTTTCACATTCATTTCGTGCGGTTGCGACGGGCGATTTTCGATGGACTTTTGAAAAATTTATGGAATTGATTCCACTTATTCTAGAGTAATAAAAGGGTTTATTATTTTACGCAATCTGCTTTAAATTCTTCTTAAGCTCAATTGTACTAGGATTAAAATTTAACATGTGAATTATAAATGCACATTTTCCTCGACGGAAATTTGAACATCTTTGAACAATTTCCGTCCTCTTTTGAGTAATAAGCCCCTGCCATAATAACCCTCTTAAATTTCCGAAGCAAACCTCTTAGGAACTAAATACTTTTGTATTTATTATGCTTAAGCAAAGGATATTTTACGAGAGAATACGTTGGAATTGACTTTGTTGGTCTCTTGACCGACACTTGATGATTTCAGGAAGTTCTATCTCAGGATTCCTATTAAGCCTTGATTTTAGTAACAACTTAGTAAATGTTGATCTAAAATTGACTTCTAAACAAGAGCAAGTAGCAACTTTTTCATTCGAATTCCATTATGACCGTTTGATTTACATGTAATCTATCCAGTATAAATGTTATCATAATCAGTTGAGCGTTCGCTGTGTTTGTCTTATTAGCATGCTTATTGAATACGGCTACCAATAGCTTTATTATCGGCAAATATTTATTAGCATATCCAACAGCGATATCCATGTTTACCTGACAGCAACCGAATAGCTATCGGTAAATGTGCATTAGCAATTATAATGATATGATCGACTGTGACGAAGTCCATATGCTGTCTTTATGGCATTTTCCCAGTATCGATTTGTATGGTTGTTATATTTTGTCTCACTAACATTTGTCATTTCCTTGCTATTTTCAGCGTCGTCACGGGGTATTCGAATCAATAGCCAATTCCTTAAAGACAGTTTTGTGGCCGGCTGTAAACGAATTTAGTGCAGTAAGTTTTCCAAAAGATGCACCTTAGCGTTATTTTAGCTTGGGTTTGGGTGGTAGATTTGTTTGTTACTTACTTTTACCTCCTGTGCACTTTAAAAAATCTCCATTATTGACCTGCAACCCGAACTAAACAGCAGCATCATTGACCTAATAGAGAGAGGGTTACCATCCGGTGACGATCTCTGTTCAGAAGTTACTATTTGCGTACCTATAATTGCATTTTTCCGGGTTTCCAACTTCAGTTTTATTTTAATAACAATTAATCTTTGCTCTGTTCTAGTGCAGTTCTTCTTAGTATTAACATGTGTGATTTCCTTACTTCTTTCAGCGACCCCGTGGTCTATTCGAGTCGCTAGTCAATTCTTTATCCACGTTTTTGTGGCCAGTAGCGAACGATTTTAGTTCAGTAAGTTTAGCTGGAGAAATTGTTGTTTCTTTGTGCTTAACTATGATTCAATGACTAACTCTACTTTGGTGTGGTGTCGTGGCTACTAACCTTTGAATGTTGTATTGTTGTTCTTATCCATTCTAGGATAGAGATTATTTTATCATCTCCATTAAACCCAGTTATGTTTATTTAACGACCCATCACTGTATTTCCACCCCTAATGAGGCAAATTTAGACAATGCAGACGACACCCATTACGGAACTTTCCAGCTAAACAGTTTAATTGAGTCGGACTAAATTTGATATTTTTGCACATCGAGACGCAACTTTTCAATGGAAAGTTCCAACTTATTACCGAAGTGTATTCAGTTCCAAATATCAAATTAGCGTTATCTTAACAGGCAATCTGCAATTAGTAGAATTGCCGAACTTGATGATGAGCGGGGCTTTTAGAACCGTAATTTATGTGTTTTAATAGAAACTTAGCTGCATGGTCAGTGACTTCAGGTTCTCGGGTTGTAATGAACGTTTATGTTCCCTTCATCAATTTCAATTCCTAAAGAGTCAAAAGTACGCTCCTCCAAGGGCGATATTAATTTCACCAGATTTATTAATGACTTCGCCTAATTAGAAATCAGCGAACTTGGGAAAATACATTCAGACGACAAGTAGGTATGGATTTTCGCTAAACCGCAGCCATAGTGGTGGCTGAGTCATTTGATCTGGTAATTATTGAAAACGCAGTTGTTTTCATTTATATTTAAAAGTTCTGCTCACCCTGTTTAATTACATTATACGCATGCATGGTTATATAATATTGAGAAGTTTGTATGTCAACATGTAGCTAGAGTTTGATATTTCCAGGCTCCCGCGAGAAGTTGGATCGAGGCAACTTTCCACAAGAGAGAATGTTCCAAGTTCAAGCCGACAGCTAAAGACGAATCAAAGTAAGTTGATTTTAACAACCTTTTTTCAATGTTGTAATAAACCAATAAAGTAGTTAACAACAAAGGGATACGAGAGTGGAACATCGATTCATTTTTAATGCTTTGCTAAATAACTTGCAATCCATTACCCTGGAAAATATTAATCAGATTTCTCTATGAAACCAGCTACATTTCAAAGTGTTACCAGTTTTTATTTCACCGGAAGTATTGGTTCCCTAAAGTATCATAGGAAGCTGGAGTATCAGGTGTAGCGTTTCCGCTCAAATAGCAGTAGCGCAATAAAGCAACCGAATAAATGAGGAATTTTTATGTATTTTTAATAGTTTTTCAATGTTTATCGCGCTTTATATGCACAGGTTTATGATGCTTTTTCCGTTGAGGGCCCGGGCTTTTTTACGATCTGCCCAATAAATATCGCTTGGCCGCTTTTCCTGTTTCGCCATTCTTTAAGTGTTTCAGCAAACTTTTAGTTTTTGTTAACCGGTTTAGTTAAATAGTTTTCTTTTCAGGAACTTATTTCGATATTCGATCGATAACTTTTCTAATTTCATAGACAACAAAAAACTCAATTTCTACTACATGACCCCCCTTGTACCAATCTATGAGATTTAAATTTCGCTTTCTTGGTCATAACTACTCGAATTTCCTCACTCATGTTGTTATGACCGAATCGAATTTTAAATTATATATCAAAGGATGCCAAAACGGATTTTCTGGCTCAAATGGTTCTTGAAAAACTTTGAAAAAGCAGCGTCATGTTTTAGTCGATGTTGCAACTCAAAAAAAAACACGCAAATTTAAAACTTCCTGAAATCAATACTTTTTTGAGAAAACTGCCAACATTTCCTTATCGACGCTTCCCTTTCTAAAAAGATCATTTAGTTCTCTCTGGAATGATGTGAAAATTTGAGTTCTTGCTCATTTTGCTTCCTAGAAACGAGCAAAAACGGCACGGAAAACATGAAATTTTTGGCATAATCTTGCATGTAAGTGTCTGATATTGAAATTTCGATTTCTGAGTCAAAACTTCTCGAATTTCCTCACTCATGTTGTGAGGTCTGGATTGAATTTTCCATTCTCTATCCAACGATGCCAAAACGATTTTTGTGGCTCAAATGGGTCTCGAGAAATTTCGAAACAAGCAGCGTCGTGTTTGAGTCGATTTTGCAACTCAAAAAAAACAAGCAAATCTAAAACTTCTTGAAATCAAGACCATTTTGAGAAAACCGCCAACATTTCCTGATGCCTGCACCTTAGTCTTTCCACCTTAATCTTGCACCTAAGTGTTTGATATTGAAATTTACATTTCTGAGTCGAAACTTCTGGAATTTCCGCACTCATGTTATTATGTCTGGATTGAATTTTCAATTCTCTATCTAACGATTAAAGTTGTTTTCTTTTGTTGAAACCTTTTAGTAGATTAGATATTCATTGTCGTCAACGGTTCTCCTAGAAGTTATTCGGCAAATTACATTTCAGTGTTCCTTCCACATTATCAAAGAAACATCTTAAGAAGTAAATAATTGAATTATTCACTTTCCTGACCTTCTTACATCTTGAAAACAGCCGACAATTCGAAAATATCGCAGTCTAGAAGTTAAGACCAGCAGTGGAATATTTCCAAATTATTTCTGAAAGGCACTTAGACTTTTGGTTCGATGAGTTTAAAGTACAAATAATATTATTGGATGATTATCTTGAATATTTGAATTAATTCCCTTAACTCACCGACTGCGTTATTTTTCCATTTTTTTTTCGTTAATTTCCAAGCTCGACAAGCTCATTAAATAGACATCAGCTTATCAATAGAAAGCACCTGCCAAGTTCAAAGTCTTCGGATCGCTGGCGTCTATGTCTAAACGATCATTAGCAGAGTTCCGCAGACTGAAAAAATATAATAAATGCAAAGAGCTCCGGCAATAAAAATCGATACCTAAAAGCCCATTTAACACTACTCGAAATCCTATCAATGTTTTATTACGAATCTAAACAAACCTTATGTAGTATCGAAAGAGTGTGGGTTGATAATGCGTAAATTTTACATCTGTATTCTGGGCAAATGAGAGTCAATAAAAATCAGAGATTTTCAGTCTTACAGAAACTGTCCGTATCACTATTTTTTGGTTTAGTTTCATAAATTGAACGAATATTTCGGAATTTGCAGATATCGGCGATCAGTTTTGCATTATTGTCTAACTCAGGCTAAAACTTAATGTGCTTAGAACAAGTTTACCGGACCAGACACTTGCATGAGCACTTCTCCATAACCATCCATGTATTATAATAATATTCTATTCGAAAATTCATGTTGGAAACAATATTGGATTAACAAAATATTTCCAGTTAAGGCAAAGTTGCTGAGGGTCTTTTCACAAGTAATGGGCCATAGAAAGGCCCAAACCATCACATCACCCCATTAAAGCGTCCAAAAATTCTCCAAAAAAAGTACATTTATTCGGGAAAATCGAACTCCGCGTGATTTTCGTGCTGCGGAAAATCAACCGGTAGAATAATTTTCCGGCAACTAGAGTCGGTAATGGATTCGGCTTGTAATGTTCCCAGGCTTGATGTAGGCGACGTGGTGCTTCAAACTATCCAGCTTAAAGATCAATTTACTCTGCTTCGACAGTTAGTTAAAGTTATTTGGTCCTTAATTTGTCAATTGTCCTGGAAAATTTGAATGAATCCCAAATATTTAGCAGTAAATGGGATTAAAGGCTCAATTAACTTTTTTCTTAATTATAAAGTAAAGGCATCGATAAAGTCGTAGGAAAAAGTAAACGGCGACAGTCGATTGTAATCTGATCTAAAACTTGCTTAATTATTATTTAATTGATAGAACAAGAAACGATACAAAAAATTAGGCGAACAAAGCGTATTTCCAGGCGCTTTTAAATAAATTGTCTGTTTCCTTCGACAACTTTCAGCAATTTTCCTTGTAAAAGGAAGAATTTCTATGGCCATTTTTCCTCATTACTGCTTTCCGGGCGACTTTATTTAAAGTTTTTCTAAGGTGTTAATCCCCCTCAGTCCATAAATCATCAAATTAGCTGCCAAGTTTATTTTATTTAGCTTTGATACATATTTTTTAATGCCGCAGACTTCTACTATTTATTTACTATTCCTGTCGCTTTTACTGTTTTATTGTCTGTTGAAAGAGAAATGTTTGCTTTCCTGAATAACTCCTCCATTAATATAGACGATGAAAGAATTGACGGTATGTTTGTTTAGCATCGTTTAATTATGCTTCAAACGGGGACTTAATTTGTTTTCTTTGCCATTATGAAATCGCTGAAATCGTTGGAAGAAACTGTATCTATCTGTTATAAACTTGTAAGCTTCCCTCTTGCTCGACAAAAATCCTGGGTATTTCTGGCATAACGACTGCTCTGACCTAGACTCCAAAATACACCCTCAGGTAATAAACAAGCCCTTAGAGCCCCTTTGTTATTCGAGGCCCAAGCAGATAGATCCCCAAAAGATTAAGCCTCACTTGGATAGATACGTTTATCCTCAAAATAGGACTGTTTTAATGAAATCCTCAGTAAACAAACGGAGGGCAGCGCTGAAATTTGCTTGCTTGAAATGGAATTCTAATGGACATGTGATGGAAAAAATATTGCCTTCAAGATACTGACGAGGGACAAACTTGTCATTAGCATCATTTGAACTTGGTTAGAGCATGGCTCGGATCAGACCAGGATCCAGAGCTGTGATGAGCCTGTTGAAAAAGCAAAGAGAAATGTTTTGACGTGTATTTCACTGGGAAATCGCTCATCTTTTTCTGATCGATTGTTACGACTTTTTCAATAAACCGTTAGAGAAAAACGTGTTTGTTTGAATGTTGGATTGATGAGCACCGTCAAAAGATCCGAAAGAAAACACGTACAGTTTATTTTTCTGTTTGTCCCACAAAGACAGGGAGGTTTACATATTTTCTGGTGTTTTCTTTGCCTGGAATCGAGCCACCTGTTCAGGGTGTTTATTTCAGCTCGAAAATCAATTGTTTTAATGGCCACTTTATCCTGTGGTGGGATGAGCCTTTTCCATTAATTTAATTGTCCTCTGCTGCTTGTTGCATTTCAGGCACTTGACTCTGCTCTAAAAGTGCCTGCTGACTATTAATTGATAAAGTATTTTTGCATATCGTTTCAGATTTAAAGTGGGGCGAAAAAATAAGAAAAGTCAATATGCGGGCATATATTTAGACATTTATCAGTTACTTAGAGCGAATAAATCTAATGGCTGGCAGTCATTACTGTAAAACGCTGCTATTTTTCTTACCTTGCAGATTGATATACAGAGGCGCCAATGTCGTAAAATTAAATTGTTTATGGAGATCCGGCATGTGTGGTTATTGTTTATTTATAGCAAGGGAACTTTAAGAGTGGAGCCAGCCAGTAATCAGAAAAATGGACTTTACATTCATAAAATGTATAAAAAATGTCGATTAAGGCAGCGAGATTTCCCATTACTTCATACTTTTTTTAAGTTTCGATAATGGAAAAACGTTGCTCATAAAAAATCTGGTGACTTTTTTAGGTGTTAAAATATAGTTCAGTAGAAATCAACTTTAAAATAATCCAAGGGTTCCGTTGAAAGGAAACTTTGGGAAAAAAGGATTTAACAAAGAAAAATTTTTTTATGGAAATTTTGGGTGATTATTCCTGAGAAGAGTAGCAATCAGATGCTGTTGCACCTTTTCACACAGACACTTTTCCTTGTGTAACAGTTTGTGGGCGATTGGTTGAGTCCAGGCCCAACCACAATCAATGGGTGATTGATCGGGGTATACTGCTGACCAATAGGAAGTACGGATTTTGCGTTGGTTTTTCAAGGTGTTGCTCTTTCGTAATGCGTTTTCTAAGGAGCATGGAAAGTTCAAAGCAAAGGGACATTTGCTTTCATGGACAGATCGAAACGATCGTTTTTATTTCAAAATGGCTGTGCAACAATTGAATGCACACAAAACTTTGTCTTATGCCAGTTTTCTCGTTCATCGCTGCTAAATTGAAACTTATTTATTTTCCCGTCGGTCGAGCAATAAATCCATGTTATCACTGCGTTAATTCGTCACGTGAGGCAGGGTATTTATCTAATCAGCTAAAAGCATTAAATCCATGTAACGCTGCTTGGACTAATAAGCGGTTATTGATATAGTTTTATTGTGTCAGCCAAAGGAAACTTTGCCAACTTGGACAAACTCGTGAACTTTACATTTTTGCGATCTAGTTATGAAAGTACATTTGATATTCGCTCGCTTGAAAAAAAAATCAAGTGCTGGTCTTTGCATCTTTGGCCCATCCAAATAGGATTATTTTCTTATCCACTTCCACACTCATTACAACGGTACGTGGCTAAAAATCCCGAAGCTCAACAGTCCCAAAGTGCAGCGCTGCCAGCTTCAAAGTGACTTTTTGAGGGGAGAATTATTTTACTTAAGCGAGAATCTGCTGAATCAAAACCCCAAAGTCCGCACACTTTTCGCCCCACCGGGTTCAACTAATGCGATCAAGATTAATTTGCATACTCTAGTTTTCACTTGAATAAATGCTTGGAAACTAAATAAATGGGAATCGAATTTTTATATACACGGACAGGGGCGGATCCAGCTTTAAATTCAGGGGGGGGGGTATGTAGAAAAAATACAGTCTGATGTTGTCTATGAAATTAGAAAAATTATTGTCGTTTTGTGCAAGGGTGGCGTAAGATTATTGCAAAATTTTATGTTTTCCGTCCCGTTTTGCATGTTTCTCAGAAGCAAAATGAGCATGTTTCTCGGAAGCAAAAAAATCATTTGTACATCCATTCCAAAGAGAACTAAATGGCCTTTTTAGAAAGTGAACCATCGATAAGGAAATGTTGCAGTTTTCTCAAAAAATGCTTGAATTCAAGAAGTT